TACTAGAATATCAAGTGCACTGAAATATCAAGTATACTGGATTATCAAGCACACTAGATTATAAAGTGCACTGGATTATCAGCCACACTGGATTATAAAGTGCACTGGATTATCAAGTGCACTAGAATATTAAGTGCACTGGATCATTGAGCACATTGGATTAAAAATCACACTGGATTATAAAGAGCACAGGATTATAAGACGCACTGCATTATAAAACACACTGGATTAAAAAAATCACTGGATTATAAGGTGCACTGGAATATCAAGTGCACTGGATTATCGGGTACACTGGATTATAAGGTGCACTGGATTATCAGACACACTGGATTATAAGGTGCACTGGATTACAAGGCACACTGGAATATAAAATGCACACTGGAATATAAAATACACTGGATTAAAAAGTGCACTGGAATATCAAGTGCACTGGAATATCAAGTGCACTGGATTATCAGACACACTGGATTATAAAGTGCACTGGATTATTGGGCACACTGGATTATAAAGAACGCTGTATATAATGTGCACTACATTATAAAATATACTGGATTATCAGCCACACTGGATTTTAAAGTACACAGGATTATAGAATACTGGATTATAAAATGCACTAGATTATTGGGGACACTGGATTATAAAGTGCACTGGATTATAAGATGCACTGGATTATAAAGCACACTGGATTATCAGGCACACTGGATTATAAAGTAAACTAGATTATTGGACGCACTGGATTACAAGGCTCACTGGATTACAAGGTACACTGGAATATAAAGTGCACTGGATTATAAAGTGCACTGATTATAAAGTGCACTGGATTATAAGGCACACTGAATTATAAAGATCAATGGATTATAAGGTGCACTGCATTGTAAAACACACTGGATTATAAAATGCATTGGATTACAAGGCACACTGGATTGATTACAAGGTGCACTGGATTATAAAGTGTACTGGATTATAAAGTGTACTAGATTGTAAGGTTCAATGGATTATAAGGTGCACTGGAATATCAAGTGTACTGGATTATCAAGCACACTGTATTATAAAGTGCACTGGATTATAAATCGCACTGCATTATAAAACACTGGATTATTGGGCACAATGGATTGAAAGTCACACTGGATTATAAAGTGCACTGGATTAAAAAGTGCACTAGATTATCAGGCAGACTGGATTATCAAGCAGACTGGATTATCAAGCACACTAGATTATAAGGATCACGAGATTATAAAGCACACTGGATTATAATGCAAACTGGATTATAAAACACACTAGATTATAAGGTGCACTGGATTATCAACCACACTGGATTATAAAGAGCACTGGATTACAAGTTGCAGTGGATTATAAAGTGCGCTGGATTATAAAGAGCACTGGATTATAAAGTGCACTGGATTAAAAAAGCACTGGATTATAAAGTGCACTGGATTATTGGGCACACTAGATTATAAGGTGCACTTGATTACAAGGCACACTGGAATAAAATGCACTGGATTATAAAGTGCACTGGATTCAAAAGTGCAATGGATTGTAAGGTTCACTGGATTATAAAGTGCTCTGGAATATCAAGTGCTATGGATTATAAGGTGCACTGAATTCTCAGGCACACTGGATTATAAAGTGCACTGGATTAAAAAGTGTACTGGATTATCAGGCATACTGGATTATAAGGATCACTGATTATAATGCACACCAGATTATAAGGCGTTTTGTATTATAAAACATACTGGATTATAAAGTGCACTGAATAATCAGGCACACTGGATTATCAGGCACACTGGATTATAAAGAGCACTGGATTACAAGGAGCACTGCATAATAAAACACATTGGATTATAAAGTGCACTGGATTAAAAAAGCACTGGATTATAAAGTGTACTGGTTTAAAGGGCACACTGGATTATAAAGTGCACTGGATTAAAAAGCAAACTGGAATATAAAATGCATACTGGAATATAAAATGCACTGGATTATAAAGTGCACTGGATTATCAGGTGCACTGGATTATAAAGTGTACTGGATTATAAAGTGTACTGGATTATCAGGCACACTGGATTATAAAGTGCACTGGATTATTGGATGCACTGGATTATAAATCTCACTGGATTACAAGGCAAACTGGAACATAAAGTGCACTGGATTGCAAGTATAACTTGATTATAAGGTGCACTGAATTATAAAGATCAATGGATTATAAGGCACACTGCATTGTAAAACACACTGGATTATAAAGTGTACTAGATTAGAAGGCGTACTATATTATAAAACACACTAGATTTTAAGGTGCACTGGATTATCAACCACACTGGATTATAAGGCACACTGGAATTTAAAGATCAATGGATTAAAAGGTTCACTGCATTGCAAAACACACTGGATTATAAAATGCACACTGGAATATAAAATGCACTGGATTATAAAGTGCACTGGATTAAAAAGTTAACTGGATTGTAAGGGTCACTGGATTATACAGTGCACTGGATTATAAAGTGCACTAGATTATAAAGTGCACTGGATTATTGGGCACACTGGATTATGAGGTTCACTGGATTACAAGGCACACTGGAATATAAAATGCACTCTGGAATATAAAATGCACTGGATTATAAAGTGCACTAGATTAAAAAGTTCACTGGATTGTAAGGTTCACTGGATTATAAAGTGCACTGGAATATCAAGTGCACTGAATTCTCAGGCGCACTGGATTATAAAGTGCAGTGGATTTTCAGCCACACTGGATTATAAAGTGCACTGGATTATCAGGCAGACTGGATTATAAAATGCACTGGATTATCAGGCACACTGGATTATAAGGCACACTGGATTATAAAATACACTGGATTATAAAGTGCACTGGATTATAAGGCACACTGGATTATAAGGAGCACTGGATTATAAGGGACACTGGATTATAAAGCGCGCTGGATTATAAAATGCACTGGATTATAAAGTGCACTGGATTAACCACATAAAATCGGTTTGAGGTCAGTAAGTACAATCATAATTAATACATAAGGTTCACCTGATGATATGGCTCATTGTGTCAATTTTTGCGAAAATTTAAGGATTTTAAGTGCTCGTTATATTCCGAAAAATACGGTAATTAAACAGAACATCAAACTTCAAAGCACAAGGTTCTTAAGTTTCCTTTAATAAAATAGTCATTCGCTTATTTCTGTCACAAGGCAAATTAAGTTTTGGCTATTTTTTTAACCACATATATTCATGGGAATAAATTGTAAATTACTTTTGTTTGAATATATTCTGGGGGAAAAAAGGGGCAGATATTAAAAGATTTATTCTTCTGCTGCCTTTCATTTTATTTTTTGATTGTGTATATATATATATATATATATATATATATATATATATATGTATATTAGGGGTTGAACGAGTATATATTTTTTAAACTCGACATCAACATAATAAAACCCGAGTAGAACTCGAGTATTTGATGACGTCATAGATCTCAAGATACAAAAATAAATAAATAAATAAAACCGCAAAAGAAGGTAATTATTTACAACAAAAAAAAGACCAACAAACATTGGGAGCATATATTATTATTATATTATTATTACCTACCATTTATCATACTGCAAATAAGTCACAGGAAAAACTAAACTATTAGTTATTATTATTAAACTGCAAACAGGAAGAAACATGCAGCACGTCAAAAACAAAACTTAAACCAAAACTGGTTCTGGTTCGGTGGATTGGACCCGGTGTTACACTATACTCTGTGACCTGCAACAGTGCAACACCGCCCCCTACGGTCATACGGTGGTCACATAATACGACGTCACTAGGGATACCCGACGTTACATTTTTAACCTCGATAGATGTCCTAGCAATCGATGTGTAGATTACTCGAGTACTCTGTTAATGCTCTTATATATATATATATATATATATATATATATATATATATATATATATATATATATATATATATATATATACTGTATACATGTATATGTTTTCTATTGTATATACTTATTTTGTTTTTAATGAAATTAATAAATTTCTATATGAAAATAAATAAATAAATAAAGTTCTAGGCCAGTAGTCATCAATTACAAACCAAAAAGGTCAACGTAAAGCAGCAGTCCTCAAAGTGTGGGGGGCACGCTCCCCCTCCGGGTGACGCATGACTACTTCTGTTTTTTGTTTTCAGGTCATAAAAAACCTAAAACTATCATCTAGACATTGTCGTGACTCAGATTTGGACGGGGTTTTTTTTGTTTGTTTTTTAACAAAAACTGGGTTTTCATGGCGATTAGATGAGTGGACTGCCCACTGTGGGGAGGGTGGATCCACTTATTTTCAAACAGCCCCACAAACATTTTCCATTAAAACGCATTAACTGCTCTGGGCCACTATTTAAAGGACCCAACTGTAAAGACCGGAAAAGCCACACCACTTAAAATTATTTACCATAAATATAAGAGAATGAGTGCAGGTGCACCCCACTGGGTGGGGTGGCGTGATGTCATCACATATGATAAAAGTTTCAGGCGACACCGCGTTAGTTTTAGACACTTTAGACAAATCAAATGCATGGATGCAACACTGCGCAGAGTTTGTCCACATCTGCTCAAAATCAACGGGCTTAAATGCAACAAAGCATGCGCAGGTGATAAAAACAACATTATTTTGATATTTATAAACCAGTCTGGGTCCAAATAGGACTTCATTTAACTAACTAAAATACTTTTTTATAGCTAATCCTGTTTTTTATGTTTGATGAGAAACAATAAATCTGAATTTGGAGCAGTAAACAGAATAAACCTTTTTTTAATCCTCATTTATTCCCATGGCACATTTAACAGTCCTATCATCAAAATGAAGAATCTATGGATCTATAAGTAGAAATTTAATTACTTAACTGTAGTCAGGAGTGATGGAAAAACAATGATGACGGAAACGTAAATGATGAGTGTAAATGTTGTAGTACCTGAAACAAACAGTTGTTATCACTGTTTAATACAGTTCTGTGTAAAAACACACACTGTATAATAAAACAATTCTATGCTGCTTACAGTCTGGGTAATCTCTCAGGTTCAGTCAAACTGATCCACCAGGCCTGCGTATAGGAGTCTGACAACTGTTGAAAACAAATACAATTAATTTCCATTTAATTAAACAAAATAAAACTTGTCATGAGGTAGCCTGGACATCATGATTCAAAAGATTTGAAGAAGATCCCTTCCAGTGGTTCCCAACCCTGGTCCTCGAGGAACACCATCCTGCATGTTTTACCGGTAGTTACCCTGCTTTGCCAAACCTGATTTGAATGAATGGGTGATTAACAGACTTCTGCAGAACTTGATGAATTAATTAAATCACTGGATCTCATGAGTGATTGATGAAGCAGGGAAACAACTAAAACATGCAGGATAGTGTTCCTCGAGGACCAGGGTTGGGAACCACTTTCTATCTTTATTTCTATCTTAACGTGTGTTCATTGTCTTTCCTCCAATAGAAAACACATCTGGACCCGTCATTCTGTGTTTGTTTGTTTCTACTTCCTGTCCTCTCAAACACCAGCTGGTCAAAGCAGATGGCCGCTCGTCCTGATCCTGGTTCTGCTGGAGGTTTCTTCCTGTTAAAAGGGAGTTTTTCCTTTCCACTGTTGCCTCTGTGCTTGCTCAGGATGGGAGACTGTGACTAAGTGAAGATTCAACGCAATCTGCTGGATTCCTCTGATAGAGAACTTTTGGCTTTTAATGTCGTTTTTATGGATGTGAATGTTTTTGTTCAGTGCCCTGAGACAATTTATGTTGTGATTTGGAGCTATAAAAATAAACTGAATTGAATTAAACTTTTAATAAAGGATTTTGATTTGTGTGAGGCAGAAACTTGTGTATTATATTGATTTAAATGTTAAAAACTTTGTGGCGTTGTTCAACTGCTTCTGGCTGTTTTATCTCACCAATAACTGCACATTTTGTAACCTGAAAATGGTGGAAGGAGCTTTATTTGTTGTGAGGCGTTACAAATCCACAATAAATTATGATGTGAGCAAAATAAAGGTCAAAGAAATTAATCCTGATTCATGCTCCATAATCCAGGTAGAAAAATCTATCAAAGTTAAGCCACGTCCTCTGGACTGATTCTTCTTGTGGAAACGTGTCATCTTTTATCCAAAAGACTTCATCAGTCTGAGGAGCTGCAACAAACTCAGTCTTATTAATAGCACCTTCTCATAGTCCGTTCTATAGTCCGCCCTCTCCCCCACTCCAGCAGGTGGTGGGGAAAAGGGCAGACTACAGAAACCATCTTAGCACCATCCAACTGGTTGACCTACTATGTGAAGGTGCTATTTATAAGACTGAGTTGTTGTGGCTCCTCGGACTGATGAAGTCTTTTGGATGAAAGATGAACGGAACAGTTCAACAAAAAGAAACCGTCCAGAGGACCTGACTTAACTTTGTTGGGTCAAGGAAATTTGTTTTGTTTAGCCATTTTATCCTTACTTGTGTCTTTAATTTGCTTCTAAAGAGCCCCTGTTGTTGCAACGCGCGTGCCTTTATTTTACTGTCAAGTTAAACCCTGACCCAAAATTCTATGGACAAGTTAATCTCCGCCCCCAAATTTTATTGTCAGGGTTAACACCGCCCCCAAATTTTGCTGTCAGGGTTAACCAAAGAGCAACTTAACATTCATCTAAACCTTCAGAGAGAAAAGGAGCAGCACATTCAACACAAACCAGAAAATATCATATAGATGTTACTGTAAACAACCTTAGTTTGGAGATCTAAAAAGATTATAGCATTTCATAGAAATAATATTATAAACCTTTATGTTGGTGGTCTTTTTAGTTTTACTTATACTTTTATACTTTTTCAAGCACAAACAGCAACTACCTATGTTTGGCCTCACTCAGATTAGCTAGCTCCAATTAGAAACAAACTATTTCCTCACACTGAGCTCATTCAAAAAGACATCTCCATCATGTCAGACATACTTTTACACAGACTTTACTTCAAAAAATCTAAACGGTCTCTTTGACGTTAAAAGTTTTTAGGAATTTCATAAAATTAGCATTAGCATTTATTTAGGCTTGGCATCCAGTTATTTATCCATTTTACTAGATTAAATTTTTACAATACTTTTGCCTGAAGACAAAGATAAAAACTAAACACTGTGAATGTAAAGTCTGATTTTATCTTCTTAACAAAATCCACAAAATAATGACGTTCTGAACAAAAAGAGTTGTCTGACCTTCTTTATTTCTAGCTGGACCTTATTCTGAGCACCGGGGCTTGTGGGTGAAGCCAGTTTGCTGTTGTTGTTTTGACAGAAGAGTTCTGCTTCCTGAAACGTTAACTTGGGCTCCTTCACAAACCAGAACTCCGATCCGTCGATGAAGATCGACGTGTTGTGGTGGCCGCCTGGAAAAGACAAACGTCTAAAACTGTTGTGCACAAACAGGAACAGTTATTTAAAAGAAAAAGGTGGATGTGAACGAAAACAATGTGAAGTTTACCAGGATTGTACCACGGTGGGGTTTGAGGTTTTTTCCCTGTTGAAGCAAAAACAAACAAACAATTAGAAATAAACAACCGGATTCTTTCACCTTCATCCATTTAAAGAAATCAGACTTTTCCAGATTTAAATTTCCTGATTGTTTTTCATTGATTGTCAGTCGTTGATATCAAAGTACAATAAATTGTTTCCTAAATCTCTAACTGAACAAATTTTACCATTAGAGTCACATTTTCTCTGTTTTGTTGTTGTCTTTGTAAGTTTTTTCCAGACTTTGTGGTATTTTAGTTGTTCATATATCAAAACGTTCGGCTCATTCAGGAGATGGACGCTGTGACTTTTGTTTGTAGTAAATTTTATATTTTACAAAAGATTTAACTTAATTTGAAATGAAAAAAACTTGCATAAAATAAACATGATTCTTCCGATCCTTCAAAAAGTTTACTGCCCCCTTCGGTCATGGGAGACTGCGAACACGGGTGAGGACGTCGCTCCATGAGCTAAAGTTAGGTTGTCCTTGAGTAGTTTTAACTGTTTGCGCAGCTGAAAGAGGACTTTTAGGTCTGGATCGGAATCCAGTTTGACTTTCGATGGAGTGTATTTGTCTGGGTCAGTCAGATACAGTATCATCGAGTTAATTGCAGGATCATCCAACTTCTGAAGTTGGATGATGTCTGGGTCAGTTGAAATTGACTTTTCATATTTTAAAAGAACTTGGCGAGGTTTGTCTCTTTCTTCGTCAGATGTCAGAGTGTCGGCTTGAGCGACCACCTGTTCAATCTGTGATGAGACTGATGAGGGTTCTTGCTCCCTGGGGAGCTCCAACGAATCCTTTTCTGAGTCGTCGGACCTGTCTATGGGCAAGGCACCATAGGTTTGAGGTCCTTGGTCGACATCATTGGTTGAGAAAAGAGCGATGGCCTGTGATGGTTTCGTGAAACATACTGGCCCAGCTTCTTGACTCGGTACCAGGTTGTCTGGGAGTCCTCCCAGAACTGGAATGCCTAGTTCAAAATCATGAAAGTCAGGTTCTGAGTTTTCAGTTTGCGATGACTCATCATCGTTTGTGTGTGAGTTTATCCCCCCTTCGTCCGATGAGGGGTTGTTGGAGGCAACAACAGCAATGTCTTGGTGTGTTTCACCGACATCTGTAATGTTGTCATTCGCGCCTTCAGATTTAGTAGCGATCAGATCACTACATTGTGCTCCTGGTTTGGTTCCCATTTCAGTGTGTATCAAAGTGTCTAAAAACCTTTGCATTTCCTCTGTCTCTTCCGAGCTCAGAGGTTTAGGGCCTTGTTCCTGGGACCTTTGTGATTTTATCGCCTCGGTACGTTTCGTCCGAGGTGGGAGGCGGCTAGGTACGTCTTTTGGGGGGTTCCTCTTCGGATTTCCCCTGATAATATGGGTCCTCTCGGTTCCCATATTCTTGCGTCCTACGCATGTCCCATATACGATAATCACGTTCATCCTCTGAAAGAGGAGCCTTTTTGTCCCAGCGTGCACCTTCATTATGCGGTTTGTTAGTCTGAAAATACTGCCTTTTCTCGCCTGTCTTAGGAGGAGGTGGATACTCGCACCTTCCTTCCACTTCTAGGGAGTGGGGTTTAACCTTTATACCAGGAAACACTTCTATGGGCGTCTTAGCATGAGAACGTGCCTCGAACACATTCACAGCACACTGTTTAATCTCATTTATGGATTTTTCTCTGAAATTTGCCATAATTTGTACTGACATGCGTATGTCAGTGTGGAGATTTTTGCTGAAAACAAATTTAAAATTTTCTTCTTCCTCCATTCCGGTTTCATTTCTGTAACCAAAATAAGCTTGGAAGATTCTTTTGTAATAGACCTTTGGATGTTCATTCTTGCTCTGCTTGACCTTTTCTGCGGCTGGGTAACCAGCAGGTCCCGTGCAGGAGTCGTATTCTCTGATCAAAGCTTCACACAGAAGGTTGTAATTCCTTCTCGTTGCATCTGGTAGACGCTCGATGAAGGTGAACACCTCTCTGTCCGAAGTGAGCCGTATCAGACTGATCTTATCCTCTACCTTAGCATTAGGATAAGATCTCAATCTGAACTCCAGTTCCCTGAGGTACGCTTTTGTTCCAGATGAGCCCATCGGTCCAGGAACAAAGCGTTTTACATATTTTGAGATTTTTTGCATATCATCCATTGAAGGAGACAGTTTCCATGCACTCTGTTGCATGTTTTGTGGAGGAGACCTGTTCAGGTCTGTTCCTGCCACTTTAGGTGAGGGTGGATCACGAGCAGGAGGTGCAACAACGTCTTTCTGAGGTGTATGTGGGTGGCCTGGACTCTGTCCACGGTCTTCTCTGAGTTCCAGACAAACTCGCCCCACGTCAGAAATCTTGTTTGTGGCCGCTCGTAGTTTTTCTTCACATGTTTTTAAGCGTTCCTGTGATGTATGATAATCACTTTCTAAACGCATATGTAGCTGTTGCAATATGTGTTTATCCATTCTGAGTTCTTCCAGCTTTTTGTTAAGCACATCTATTTTGCTATTCAGCGAATCAATTTCTGCATTTGCATTTTGCTGTGATTGAAACATCTGTTCAGAATGTTTTTTTGTGAGGATTTCGTGTTCACTTTTAAATTGAAGGAAGTGTTCTTCAATTCTCTGAACCACCTCTTTTTCACTGTCTAACCTTATTGCAAGGTAATCAGCTTTCTTAACAACCGTATAGAATGATTCTTTCAGCAAAATTGCAATTTTAGCCAGCTTTTCATAACTTGACTTTGTAATTTCTGTAGAGGTCACACTTTCTGCGACCTCCTTTAGATTGTCCAATAACTCTTTTGGGTTCATGCTCTCTGCCTGTTTATCATACGGATGTAAGGAATCTGTCAGAAGCGCTAACGCATTCTTTAAACAGTCCCTTATCCCATAAGCATCAAAATCTTTTTCTAACACACCTGTCATGTTTTTCACTGTGTAGCACTTTATCTGTTAAAAACAGTTGCAAGCTTCAGATATTTTACAGGTAAATATTTGTATTCGAGTCAATGAGTTTTCACACTATTTTAGCTTTTTGGGTTTACACAGAAGTACTGTTATAAGTCAACTTATTCAAATGTGGGTACCTTTCTCAGGTTTTACCCCAATTCATGAATATTTAAGTAAATGCTCTCGGCAGTGTTACTTGTATGTGCTTATTTTTCAACAGGTACTAGTTACCAAGCTCTTTTTAGTGTATTTTACTCTAAAGCACTGAATTTTTTATAAACCTGCAATTTTTCTAAAAGTCTCACAGCAATCATTGGTTTAAAACGTTTTTTAAACCGTTCTGTTCCAGAAATTTGCTATTTTAACAGTTACTCATAGAACTAAGTGGTGAAAAGAAAAAGAACAGTTGATGATGTATCAGGATTAATCAGTCCTTCCTTCAGAAAAACTGTTATTCCTGTTCTCCTGTCTCATCCTCTATTTAAAATTAAATAGGAAGATTTATTTTTAGGTGGTAACTTAAACAGAAAAGTTTCTTTTTCCTGATAAGTTTACTCTTATTTAGTGATCTAGCAATTAAACGTGTATTATCTTTCAAGCAAAATGAGTAAACTTTTCAACTCTGTGAATATTTGAACCGTATCTTTTAAAAAGTTTCTGATTTTATTTTGTACCTTTTCTTTAAGGAATTACCAGTGAATAAAATGTGTTTGGTAAATGCCTCTCTGTCTGACTGTAGTGAACCTGATCTGACCTCAAATCTGATCAGATGGACAGAGACTGTTATTTCATTGATCTGCATCCAGAAATACAGTTTGAGCCATCTGGAGACTTTCTTTCTTGAATTAATCAAGCAGAAAAGACAATCCTCTATGATCATTACTATTTTACAAATGTTTGATAATCAAATTGTGTTAGTTCACTCAATGCTTACAGGTTGAAGAGAACTACTCATTTTTATTTTACATAAACAGTAAGTAATGATTTTTATTCCTCATTCAAAGAAGAAATCAGGTTAATATGCATTTCTTGATTTTTCTGTCTTCAATGAGCAAGTTTTGTAAGTATGTTAAAGGTCGAGTCTCGGTCAACTAAAATGTTTACTGAGAAGAAATGTCATGTTTAAACTTTTTCAGAAGATAATAGGAGTTTGACTCCACGAAGTCTGGTCTTTCTCCAATAATCTTTTCTGTCTGTTAAACAATCTCATTCTCTGCCCTTGACTTTGATAACATCTTACGTCACAAACCACACCTCTATTCTGGTCCATCCACGAATCAGAAAGCTCTAAATTGACCCGGAAGTCAACTCATTTAAAATGTGGCAACTTCCCGGTTCTGCTCGGCGAGAGTGCTAGAGTGCTGAAGAGTGATGGAGTTAAAGTGTAAGAGTGAAACAGAGTTCTAACTCATGAAGAGAGTTAAAGGATCCAGATGCAGAGACGTTTTGGGATTATAACTTCTGTTTGGATAACCTCGCACGACTCTCTAAGGATTTCAGCTGCTCTCAACGGAGACGCTGAAAGGGTCAAGGAAGGATCCTATACCGACGCTGATATATCATCAACCAGGTAACGGTTTCTACTTCGACCAAGCGTACCGTCGCAAGCTGAGATCTGAAGGAGCGTGCACGTTTCTGGTCAAACAGATTAATTCCCTCACACATCTCTCTGTAAGATAAATCTCCATTTCCATCTTAAACTCTCCTTTCTCCTAAAATCAGTACAGATATTTTAGAAATATCTGAAGCAAAGTCCTCAGTCACCGCCGTGTGATTGATGTCCATTATCTGTGAAACTTGTCTGTTATTATTTTCATATTTTGCCAAATTAATGTAAATGCTTGATGTTAAACTTTGATTCTGAAAATAAATGACCGCATTCATTTTGATGGGTCAAAGATAATAACGTCTCTCGTTCGCATTTCTGTTAAATTCAATGCACGACATTTACACAGTCAGAAAAATGAAGAACTCGTGAAAAATTGTATGAATATATCCATATATGACATACTACAAACATCTGCTACAACTGCTTTTTTATTTCAGCTTTGACAACATTTTTTATACTTTTAGTTAGTTTTGCCAATATTAGCATCTGTTTTTCTAATTGTAACTACTGGCCTGCTAATTTAAGCTTTAGCAGTTTTGATACTTCTACCAATGTTCTTAATAATTTTAGCTACTGTTCTGTCACTTTAATCTACTGTTCAGATGCTTTTAGCTATTAGCTACTGTTGTGAAAAATTTAGCTACTGTTCTGTTGCCTTTTGCTTTTTAGCTACCATTTTGTTATTTTTTAGCCACAGTTTTCTTTAGCACGTTTTGCTCATTTCAACTATTTTGATAATTTTAGCTACTGTTGTGCTACTTTTAGCTTTGAGCTACAGTTTCAGAACTTGTAATTTATGTTACCGCTTTTATACTTTTACAAATTAGCTACTGTTTTGCTTATTTTTGGCTTTTAGCTACGACTTTGTTATTTTATTTTTTTTCTGATTCAGAGTAAAACAGAAAAAGCAGCGTTAGCTTTAGGGTAACCTGTAGCTGAACAGCTGCACAGATTGGGCAAAGTATGGTAATAAATTTGCATTTATTCAACACAGATTTAGGTTTTATGAGGTTCAAAAAGTTTCTTACATCATAAACAAAAACTACGACTTTAGATCTGTTCAAACACGGAGTTAAAACTCACTTCTTCACACTTTCTTCAAACTCAGTGCCGTTCTCCATTTTATACAAATTTAGAATAAATCTTAAACCTGTTTTAGAAAATCAGTCAGGGGACGCAAACATTTTCCAGACAAATTTTGAAAGAGAAACCCGTCTGAGTGGTCTCACCGAGGGGGATCTGGCAGACCCACTCCAGCCGAGCATCACAGTGGAATGGTGTGGCGAAGAAGGGGGCAACTTGGATGTCGTGAATCAGGTACATCAGCAGATGGTTCAGGCTGTTCCTCATCGACTGTCGGGAACATGGCGGGTTGAAAAAATTAAAACTAACGTTTCATAAAGTTGCTGCTTAAAGTCACATGAAACCAACAACCCAGGATTTCCTCCGAACTTCTAACAGAGCTTAAAGAAAGCATAATGAAGACAGAGAATGAAACAAAAGTATAAATTTCCCAGCCTACCTTGAACGCAGCGCAGTCCCGATTGTATGCGTCGTCCTCGTGGAACTCGCGGTGTAAAACGTCCAACGATACCTGCTCCGAAAACGCCCAATCAACACTCAGACACAGATTTCTCCACCATCATTATGAACTCTCCAGACGAGGGAAAAGATTTTGGCTTTCTCTCAGAAGTGTTTCAGAAAGATGGCCGAGGAGCTCTGGGAGTCTTGGAGCGTTTATTGTGTGAATTTAGGTTTTCCTGGTTTTAATTTTCCAAATATTTTCAGCAATGTAACTTCTTCTGTATACTTTGTTTTATTTTAGCTGTTGGTTTATCAAAACATTCGGCTCTTTCAGGAGGTGGGTGCTGTGACTTTTGGTTTTTGTAACTTTTAATATTTAACTTTATTTACAAATTATTCTCATAAAAAAATTCTTCAAAAATATTGTTCTCTTGAAATCTGCTTCAGGTACTGGGTCTGCCGTTGTCCATTAACTCGCCTTTTGCTACTTTAGCTACTATCTCTTGGTTTCTGGTTCTCAAATTTCTTTCTGGGATTAATGAAGTATCTGTCTATTCTGCTAATCTTAGCTTTTGACTAGCCTTTTGCTGCTTTTGGCTTTTAACTCACCATTTTCTGCTTGTATCCAGTATTTTGCTACTTTTACCTACTATTCTGCTAATATTAGCTTTTGACTTGCCTTTAGCTATTTTGAGCTTTTAATTAATTGCTATGTTTAGCTTACAGCTATCGTTTTGCTAAACTGATCTTTTAGCTTGTCTTTCAAAACTTTTTCCTTACCATTTTAAACTTTTAGTTTTTACTCAGCCTTTTGCTACTTTTAGCGTAGGTTTTAGCTACAGAAGCTGTTGGATTCCTTCAGCTCATGTTTTGCTTTAGTAGCTTTTCTTAGCTCAGTTTTGGCTTCTTTAGATTTTTCTTTTTGTTTCCAGTCTTCACACACACCCCCCCGGCTCGTACTCACAGGTCGGCCATCGCTCCACTGCCAGGAGGGGTCGGCTGGGTTCCTCCTGTTCAGGCCAACCCAGAAGTACCGGTTATCACTGCAGAACCAACACAACAACGTTATTCACAACAGTTCAGCGACCCAATCCCCGAGAATCTTCAGTTTCCTCTCACAAGAGTTTAAACTCAACCGTTAAGAGTAAAGACGTAAATCTGTTCAAACGTTTGTTTACGTGAACAAAGAAAGAAGTTTAAACTGAAAAACATCTAAAAGGTAAACCTCAGCAACATATGCTGCAACTACCGCCCCAAATCTTACCTGATGGAGTCTCTCATGATGGTGTGCAGGACTTCCATCTCGTCTCTGGTTCTGAAACTGGGCAGGTCGGCTCCCAGAGCCCGGCAAAAACTCAGGGCTTCCTCCCAGGAGCGTTTCCTGCTCAGCCTTTCCTCGTGAAACACCTGAAGGCACGAGAACAGCTCACAGGTCGACTCACACAGCAAGAATAAAACAGATTCAGCTGTTTTAAGCAAAGTGACAATAAGAGCAGAACTGGGTCGGACAAAGTAAAATGTGAATAAAAACAGAATGCAATGATTTATAAGTCTCACTGAATCTCAAGAAGCTCTAACGAGGATAATCCCTGTGAAAAATCACATCATGTTGCTGCTGATCGGTGTCATGTTGCTGCTGATAGGTTTCATGTTGCTGCTGATCTGTTTCATGCTCGTGTGTTCATTCATACTCATCTGCTCACATAGACTCATGTTCGTGCTGCTGTTGGGCGTATTGTTTTTGTACTACTAGCGCTTAGCGTATTTTTAGTTAACGTTTTTCTTAGTTCATATCTTAGAGCTTATTACTGTTTTTCTTTTATGTTTTATACTTTTGTTGGATGTAACTGGGACCCTGTGTACACAATTTCATTCCACCAAACGTGGCGGGTATGACAAATAAAGAAACTTGAATCTTGAATTTTATTCTCAATGGAACATCGTAAATATCAAAATGGGAGCAGATGTTCTAAAACCTGCAGATATTTTTCTGTATTGATGGAGTCTTTCCAGATGTGTAAGCTGTCGATGTCAGAGGCACTAATGCACCTCCATACCATCAGAGAGGCAGGCTTTAAAATTGTAATCAGATTACAGACTGGATGGTCCCTCTCCTCTTTAGTATGGAGGACGAGGTGTCCGTAGTTTCCAAACAGAACTTCATATTTGGACCCGTCTGCCCACAGAACAGTTCTGGACTTCACCTCAGTCCATTAGAAACGAGCCTTGGTCCAGATAAGATGGCAGCAGTTCGGATGGGTTCACATCTGGCTTCTTCTTTGTCTGATAGAGCTTTAAACAGCATCTATGGATGAACTGTGTGTGAACTGTTTCCTGGACTATCTTGCAAAAAAATTTGAAGCTCTTGACCTTGACCTCTCCAAGTGGCTTTAAACATCTGTAAGTTCCTGGCAAGAACTGTTTTTAGTTTTCTACACCGCCTCGTAATCTAGCTGTTTTTTCCCTATGTTTCCTTTAATTATCATTTTGTTTTCAATTGTAAAAAAAAACAAAATAAAAAAAATATATATATACATTAAATTTGTATGCATCATTTGTGATTGTCTATTGTTGTCATTGTTGTCATCACTCTGTTAAAATTCAGGTCTCTCGTAAATGAGTCCTCATGGCTCAGTGGGACTAACCTGTTTAAACAAAGGTTGAAAGAAAGTGAACAGAACCAAACCTGTTTTAATGCAGTGGCCCCTGAGGGCCTCATCCTTTGAGCTCAGGTTTCTACAAATTCATCTGGATCAGATTATGAACTGAAGGTGATGGAGATTAAAGTCTTTCATTCAGGAACTTTGTTCTGAAAGAGTTCCTCCAGTTTTAGACAGACTACTGAACCTGTGCCCATCTTTACTTCTAACAGTCTCTGTTGATCTCCAGTCCTCTGACTGACCTGTTGATCATTCACCTCATTATTTACTAAACGTTCTTCCTGGTTCTGATCTGGACCTCTGTTAGCTGCTAGTTTTGTACCACAGAGCAGACAGCATCCCCATTAACTCGCCAGGCAGAAGGAGAAATGCCGTACAAGACAGGCTCTAGAGCAGGGCTACTCAACAAAACTGCTCAGGGGGCCACAGTTTCTGAAAACCAACAGCTCGGGGGCCGGACATCCAGCGATTAAAGTCATTATGTAAATAAACCAAGTTTTACAATGATCTGTTAACTTTTAATTTTTTTACTGCATTGAATCATAAATGCAATAAACAGAACCCAAAACTCAAACCCAGACCCCACCCCCCAATTTTATTTTTTTTATGAAGTGGTATCCCTGCCCTAGAGTAATGTAGATATCCTAAATGGGCCTTCTTGAAAGCAGAGAAGAAACCCAAACAGAACTCCAGCCAACCTTCAGGTGAGAAGGAGGAACCCAGACCAGTGGTCATTCCATATGTTGAGGGAGTATCAGAGAAACTGAGACGTTTATTTTCTAAACATAACGTCCCAGTGGCTTTTAAACCCCAAAATACATTACGGCAAAGACTGGTTCATCCCAAAGATCCAGTCCCCCGGCACAAACAGAGTAATATTGTGTATGCTGTTCAGTGTCAGGAGGGCTGTGATCAGTCTTACATCGGGGAAACTAAACAGTGGCTGTGGCTGAATGGTTAGAACAGTCGTCCTCCAATGCGAGAGTTGGGGGTTTGAATCCACCAGCAGTCACATGCCGAAGTGTCCCTGGGCAAGACACTGAACCCCTCATAGCCTCTGATGTGTGTCCCATCAGTGTTTGAATGTGAGTTAAAGCACTTATTAGTCTCATTAGAATGATTTGTTCAATTAGCTTTGTAGAGATGTAGAGTGCTGTATGAATGGGTAAATGAGGGCACAGATTGTAGTGTAAAGCGCTTTGAGTATCTTGAAATAAGATAGAAAGGCGCTGTATAAGTACAGTCCATTTACCATTTAAACAACTACTGGCCAAAAGGATGGCCCAGCACAGAAGATCAACATCATCAGGCCAGGACTCTGTGGTCTACACTCATCTCCAGGCCAGCGGTCACTCTTTCAGGAATGAAGATGTTCACATCCTGGACAGAGAGGAATGATGGTTTGAGAGAGGAGTAAAGGAGGCCATCTTAGCGAACAGAAATCGTCCATCATCAAACGGGTGGAGGCCTCCGTGTTCAACTGTCCCCCTCTTACAATGCTGTTATTGCTAGTATCACTCAGCCCTCTGTGAGTAGTAAACAGCCATCAGGCATTGGCTGATGGTCCTCCTTTTACGTGTGAACAGCTAGTCCTGGCTGTCAGAAGCACTTTTAAGTTTGTTGCATCTCCTCAGACTGAAGAAGTCTTTAGGATAAAAGACGAAACGTTTCAACAAAGAAGAATCTGTCCAGAGGACCCGACTCAACCTTGTTAGATTCATCTACCTGGATTATTGAGCAGCATCAGAATGTACAGTTCTTATTTTCTACATTTGATATATTGTAATTGTAAATAAAATGTGGGTTTATGAGATTTGTAAATCATTGCATTCTGTTTATATTTACATTTTACACAACGTTCCAGCATTTCAAAGCTGAGGTTGTGCAATAGAAACAATTTTCTAAATAAATAATTCCTAAAAAATACCTTCTTAGTTAAAACCATTTAAGAGTTCGTCTGACACACACACACACACACACACCTTGTAGCAGTATTTCACGTCTGATCCAGATTTCCATCCATCAGGACAGGTTGCGTTAGGATCCAGCTCTGGTTCAGGTTCTGGTTCTGGAAGAGGACTGAGGTCTGTTCTGCAGATAGTACCGGCTCTAAAGAGGGTACAGTTCTTCACTTCCCACCTGCCCAGAGGCATTTCGGTGGACGTCACAGCACATCCTCCGTCCTGTCCTAAACAAACAAACAAACATTATTTTCTGTGTGTTTATGGTTCTGAGTAACAGAACCCGGCAGGTTCTGTTAGCTGTTTGACAGGGAATCAGATGATTTTTATAGATAGACGTGCAGCTTGACAAACAGAGCACGCCACTTCCTGTGCAGGTTTGTGGGTTTTCTCCTCTTCTGTTACCAACCTGGTTCTGACAAGCCCCAGTTTGTGAACGTCACCAGGCCCGGAGAGCCATCTTGGCTCATCCACTGGTACTGTCCGTTGCTCTTGATGTCCTGCATGCCAATCCAGAAATACTGAGGCTCCTTGCTGATGTGCTCTCTGAGCAGACGGTTGATGAAGGACTGCTCAAACCTGGAAAAACCGCAGGAACGACTCGTTACCAATGCGTCACAATAAAGACAATTATGTTAGTGCCTGAAAGGTTAAAGCTTCTAATGTGACTTTATTAGAGACAGTCAGGGTTAAAACCAAGTTATTTAGTTTTGTAACAGGCATGATATAAGAAATGATCTACAAAATGAAGTAAACACAACCACAAAATATTAATAAATGTGGGTCAAACATCAAACTGATGAGCTCATAAATCTGAGTTAAGCACCTGTTTAGAATTATGTGTAGTTTATATAATAAAATATAAATTTAATTATAAAGCACTTTCAAATATCAAAAAGAAGACAAAGGAGATGATTGTGGACTTCAGAAGGAACAAAAACATCTACACCCCCCCTGAACATAAGAGGATCTGTGGTGGAAGTGGTCTCCAGCTACAAGTACTTGGGTGTACACATGAATGACAACCTCAGCTGGAGCAACAACACCACCAGCCTGATCAAGAAAGCTCATCAGAGACTCTACTTCCTCAGACGGCTGAGGCGAGCTGGTCTGGGAAGCTCAGTCCTCACCTCCTTCTACAGGTGTGCAGTGGAGAGCATCCTGTGCTCGAGCATCAATGTGTGGCATGGAGGCTGCACAGCTGCAGAAAGAAAAGCTTTGCAGAGAGTGGTGAAGGCTACACAGAAATCTGTCGGAATCAGCCTCCCCACCATCACAGACATCTACACCTCCAGATGCAGGAAGAGGGCCACCTGCATCATGAAGGACCCCACTCACCCAGCACACACACTTTTTGCCCCACTCCCCTCAGGAAGGAGGTTAAGGAGCATTAAGTGTAGAACCACTAGACTGAGGAACAGCTTCTACCCTGAGGCTGTTAGACTCATGAATCTCTAACTAGAATAATCACTGTGAAAAACCATATCATGTTGCTGCTGATCTGTTTCATGTTGCTGCTGATCTGTTTCAATGTTGATGTGTTCATGCGTGCACATCTGCTCACAGACATGTTCATGTTTGTGCTGATGTTCAATGTTTTATGTTACGAGTGCTTAGTGTATATTTAGTTGATGTTTTTCTTAGTTCATATCTTAGATGTTATTACTGTTTTTCTTATACATTTTATTGTTGGATGTAACTGGGACCCCGTGTACATAATTTCACTCCACCACATGTACCACATGAGGTGCGAATGACAATAAAGAAACTCTGACTCTGACTCTGGCTAATGTGTTGTTTCAGATTAAAACTTAACCGCAGACCAACATGAAGAACTTTAACTGTCAAGCATAGTGGTGGAGGGCTCATGATTAGAGCTTGTTTGGCGATAGCGTTGACTAGTCAGAAACGAGACAGTCTGATCGAAAGCTAAAGGTGGACACAAACCGGATCAGAAAATGGAACCAAAGAACAGCAGCGAGTGTACATGTTTGAAAAAAATAATAATAATCCAGTCAGAGTCCGGACCTCCAGCTGACGGAAACCATAAGGCAAAAACAAATGACTACAAATGTCAACAAACTAAATGTAGTGTGGGATTCTGCTGTTCAAAAGAACCACTCTTAGTAAGAACCAGAAGACTTTTTCTGACCCAGAAGAACCACATAACTGAAAAAGTTTACATGGACTTTATACCATAACCACGGTTGATGAATGTTAAAGTCACACCTGATGGTATTTGTATGACTTTAATTAGCTTAACGAGGCCATACCTGTTCCTTATAGTCATGCTACAGCGATCCTTGAAGTACACTTGCTTGGTGTTCACTTGATAGCAGGAGCTGCCATGTCTCCTCCAACCCTAAGGGGGTTGAAAAACAGAAGTAAAATAAAACAGCAAGCAGAAAGAGAAAATTATTTATTTTACACTTTGTCCTACTCCTATATTACCTGTCCTAAGGAATATGTAAATGTTTACATTAAGGTTAAATATGTCTCTTTTTTAAACTTGTGGCAAAAGATTTTCTTAAAACAAGGTATCTGTAGACAAAATTTTTGAAAACCACAATTTCAAACAAACATACAAACTAACAAACCTAAAAGCTAAAAGTAACAAATGTACGAGCTAACAATAAATTTACAAGCTAAGATTAGTAAACCTACAATCTAACAATAACAAACCTACAAGCTAACAATACCAAACCCCCAAGCAACCTGTGATGCTTGTAGCAAACATATAAGCTAACATTAGTAAACCTGCAAGCTAAAATTAGTAAACCTACAAGCTAACATTAGCAAACCTACAAGCTAACAATAACAAACTAATAATATGACAACAGCAAACCCCCAAGCATACCTTAGCAAACATACAAGCCAACATTAACAAACCTACAAGCTAACATTAGTAAACCTGCAAGCTAACATTAGTAAACCTACAAGCAAACATTAGGAAACATACAAGCTAACATTAGGAAACCTACAAACTAACAATAGCAAACATACAAGCTAACGTTAGTAAACCTACAAGCTAACAATAGCAAACCTATAAGCTAACAATAACAAAGCTAAGAGATAACAATAGCAAACCTACAAGCCAATGTCAGTAAACCTACAAGCTAACAATAGCAAACCTACAAAGCTAACATTAGTTGTACCTACAAGCTAAGATTAGTAAATCTGCAAGCTAACATTAGCAAACCTAGAAGCTAATGCTAGTAAACCTACAAACTAGCATTAACAAAACTAAAAGCTAGCATTAACAAACCTACAAGCTAATGTTAGTAAATCTAGAAGCTAATCTACAAGCTAACATTAGTAAACCATACAAACTAACTTTAGTAAACCTACAAACTAACATTATTAAACCAACAAACTATCTTTAGTAAACCTACAAGCTAACATTAACTATCCTACAAGCTAACATTAGTAAACGTACAAGCTAACATTAACAAACCTACAAGCTAACATTATTAAACCTACAAACTAACTTTAGTAAACCTACAAGCTAACATTAACAATCCT